AGTAAAGCAATGCCGACAACCCGAATGGCAAAAGTGCTGGAGGCTGATGCTGCCTTTTCAGTTCTCAAAGCCCACACATGCCTAGGTATGTTGCATATACTTTCCCTCCAGGAGGTGAGACTGCTGTAATAAGGAGTCCTCACTCATCCTTGGCCAGGTTTTCTTCTTTAGAGATGAATTCCCAAGGCAGAAGCTGTGTAAAGGCTGGCCAAGAGGAGAGAGACTCGCAACTCTCACTGGGAGGGCAGCAAGCAATGGTCCGTTTCCTCTTCTTCTTGGCCCTGCCAGTGCTGCGTAGGCTGTTTGGAAGAAACAGGCTCTGAGCCCTTTGAATTGCCTGAAGAAGGGGGCAAAGCCATCTATACTCTCAGGTGAAGTTATCTTTTTTAATGTTTTCTGAGACAGAGTCTTGTATTTTTAGTAGAGATGGGGTTTTACCAGGTTGACCAGGCTGGTCTCGAACTCCTGACTTCAAGTGATCCACCTGCCTTGGACTCCCAAAGTGCTGGGATTACAGGTGTGAGCCACTGCATCTGGCTGATGCTCTCTAGTGAGGTTATCTAATTCTGGGCTGATCACCTGGAGAGGTAAGGCCTGGGAGGGAAAACAGAAACACAGAAAGAGTGTTCAGAATCTATAAGGCTCATTAAATTACACAGAGGAATAGAAATGTCATGTGAACCACATGTGCATATAGGCTTGGACAGTGTTTCAGGAATGAGTTTTCCTTTGAAAAAAAGTTATGGCCAGGTGTGGTGGCTCATGCCTGTAATCCCAGTACTTTGGGAGGCCAAGACGGGCGGATCACCTGAGGTTGGGAGTTCAAGACCAGCTTGACCAACATGGAGAAACGCTGTCTCTACTAAAAATACAAAATTAGCCAGGCGTGGTGGTACACGCCTATAATTCCAGCCACTTAGGAGGCTGAGGCAGGAGAATTGCTTGAACCCGGGAAGCAGAGGTTGTGGTGAGCCGAGATCACGCCATTGCATTCCAGCCTGGGCAACAACATCGAAACTCTGCCTCAAAAAAAAAAAAAAAGAGTTATGTATTCATTCCTTGTAACAGGTAATCTAGGCCAGGCGTGATGGCTCATGCCCATAATCCCAGCACTTTGGGAGTCCAAGGTGGGAGGACTGCTTGAGCCCAGGAGTTCAAGACCAGTTTGGGCAAGATTGCAAGATCCCACCTCTAAAAGAAAACAATAGGTAAAAGGCTGGGCATAGTGGCTCACACCTGAAATTCCAGCACTCTAGGAGGCCAAGGTGGGCAGATCACATGAGGCCAGGAATTCTAGACCAGCCTGGCCAACATGGCGAAATCCCGTTTCTACTAAAAAAATTGAAAAATTGGCCGGGCACGGTGGCTCAAGCCTGTAATCCCAGCACTTTGGGAGGCCGAGGCGGGTGGATCACGAGGTCAAGAGATCGAGACCATCCTGGTCAACATGGTGAAACCCCGTCTCTACTAAAAATACAAAAAATTAGCTGGGCATGGTGGTGCATGCCTGTAATCCTAGCTACTCAGGAGGCTGAGGCAGGAGAATTGCCTGAACCCAGGAGGCGGAGGTTGCGGTGAGTCGAGATCGCGCCATTGCACTCCAGCCTGGGTAACAAGAGCAAAACTCCGTCTCAAAAAAAAAAAAAAAAAAAAATTGAAAAATTAGCTGGGCGTGGTGGAGTGTACCTGTAATCCCAGCCACCCAGGAGGTTGAGCCAGGAGAATCGTTGGAACCTGGGAACCCAGGAGGCAGAGGCTGCAGTGAGCTGAGATTGTGTCACTGCACTCTAGCCTGGGTGACAGACCAAGACTCCATATTAAAAAAAAAAAAAAAATTGGCAGGGCATGGTGGCACATGCCTGCAATCCCAGCTGCTTGGGAGGCTTAGGCAGGAGAATCGCTTGAACCCAGGAGGCTGAGGTTGCAGTGAGCTGAGATCGTGCCATTGCACTCCAGCCTGGGCAACAAGAGCGAAACTCCATCTCAAAAACAAAAAACAAAAAATGACTATATTCTGGTGTCTTTTTTCCTACTAGTACATATACTATATGTGTTGGGGGCAGATTTAGAAAGCATGAAAAGTTCATCTTGTTCTCAATAACCCTGAGCTTTGCTTCAGATCAAGCTGCTTCTTACTTCTGCCTCAAAGGCTGGACCCTGTCAGCTACAGACAGTGTAGCCCCTGGGTCACCTGAAACTGTTCTGCTCAGGGACACATCCTGCCATGTGAGTTTCACTGAAAGAATCATGTCCTTTGTTCTTACTGAATTCCCACGTCTAGAATTCGTTCTTATAGTTCAATACGTGCTAGGAGGGCCAGTGCCCGCTCCCCACCTGGCTACTCAATTCTTTTTCCAGGTCTTATAGGCGGGGGAAGGATTTTCTGGGCAGTGTGGGAGGTCATCTCCGCTCTCGATCTCTAGTTTGTGGAGAGAGCCCGTCAGGGCTGTGCACCGGTGGTGGCTTCCGTATTACTGAGGTCATGGTGGGTCCTTCTTCTGAAGAGGTGTGAAATGTAGAAAGCAGAATGGAACTTGGCCCTTGCTTAACATTAAGAGACTGGTTAGAGGATTGCTTGAGGCCAGGAGTTTGAGACTACCTTGGGCAACATAGCGAGAACCTGTCTCTAAAAGCAAAACAAAGCCTGGGCATGATGACTCACACCTGTAATCCCAACAGCTTGGGAGGCCAAGGCAGGTGGATCACCTGAGGTCAGGAGTTCGAGACCAGCCTGGCCAACGTGGTGAAACCCCGTCTCTACTAAAAGTACAAAAAAAATTAGTCAGGTGTGGTAGCAGGTGCCTGTAATCCCAGCTACTGGGGAGGCTGAGGCAGGAGAATTGCTTGAACCTGGAAGGTGGAGGTTGCAGTGAGCTGAGATTACACCATTGCACTCCAGCCTGGGCAACAGGAATGAAACTCCATCTCAAAAAAACAAAAACAAAAACAAACACAAACAAAATTGCTGTGTAGAGTGTTACAGTGAATTTTCTTTTTTTCTTTTTCTTACAGTGAATTTTCATATCTCTATATACACACACATGCACACATATATTTTTTCTTTTGAGTGAGAGGCAAGGTCTCACTCTGTCACCTAGGCTCACTGCAGCCTAGAACTTCTGAGTTTAAGGGATCCTCCTGCCTGGGCTTTCCAAGCGCTGGGATTACAGGTGTGATCCACCACAGCCAGTCAGTTTTGTTATCTATAGGATGAGATATAATATGTACCTTGGACAATTGCTGTAAAGATGAAAATGAGGTCCACACAAAAACTACATAAATGTTCATAGCAGCATCATGTATAATAGGCAAAAAAGGTGGAAACAGATGTCCCTCAATGGATTAATGGATAAATAAAATGTGATGTTGGGTCGGGCACGGTGGCCTATGCCTGTAATCCCGGCACTTTAGGAGGCCAAGGCAGGCAGATCACTGGAGGCCAGGAGTTCAAGACCAGCCTGGGCAACATGATGAAACCCCATCTCTACTAAAAATATACGAATTAGCCAGGTATAGTGGCACATGCCTGTAATTCCAGCTACTGTTTGGAAGAAACAGGCTGTAAGCCCTGATTCTTCCAGGGAAAGCTGAGGCACGGGAATCACTTGAGCCTGGGAGGTAGAGGTTACAGTAAGCCAAGATCACATGACTGCACTCCAGCCTTGGCAACAGAGTGAGACT